TTGCCAAATTTGGTCCAGTGAATAAAAATACATCCTGCATATCAGATATTTGCAATTATGATTCATAACAATAGCAAAATTACAGTTATGAAGTAGCAACAAAAATAATTTTATGGTTGGAGGTCATCAGGACACTAGGAACTGTATTAAAGGGTGGCAGCAAGGTTGAGAGCCACTGCTCTAAACTATGAACCCACTGCTAATATAATGCACCTCCATAGCATTAATTATTACATGGACACTGGAACAGAGTGTTTCATGATAGTTCACTGTACTTTGGTACTGTATATTGAAAAATTGAGGTAGCATTGCAGGTTTATAGATAGGGCAGGACTTCTGCTTCATTTCTGGACATGTTCAGACATGTTTACTCTTCAGTTAATACAAGGTAATTTTCCTTTTTACAAATAGTCACTAGAATGTAGTCTGGTTTCTTTTGATACAGTGAAAGGATACTTCAGAAAAAAATAGTTCTGGGTTTAATTTTTCTTTTGCTATTTATGCGTGTGGACATATAACATGCTGCTCATTTCCAATGTGAATGTGAATAGATTTTTTTTGTACCGCGATTCTAAAGCTCTTGTAAATGTCTTCCTTTTGCAAGTGGTGCAATAGTGGTGCCTTTAGGTAATATTGGCAGACCTAATAACCTCTTTGGAAGTTCATTTGTTGTCACTATAAACAGATCTGTGACAGAGCTCTCTTGATCTTTTCCCAAAGGGGATATGAAAGATTCACAGGCTAAGAAATTTTCCACCAAAAGCGAGTGAATGTGAGGAGGAACACATTTGCAAAAGAAAAGTGGTTGAAGGGAGGGGTCATGTCATGCTTTTTCACCAATCCCAAAACTTGTGGAGGGGGGAAACAGCCAAGGAAAATGGTGGGGAGAAGGGTGGGGGTTCAGTTCTCATTTAACATTTTCCCCTCCAGATGCCCCCATGTTATTTGCATCATTGGTTAAGCCTAAGTGAGTGATATGCCATTTTTTTCCAAGCAGCAATTTTCAGCTTAAGAAATATTTCCTCAGTTCTGTTTTGCTTCCCATTAGCTATTTGTTTTGGCTAAACTTCTTTGGCTGTTTAGCGCGTTTTATATTTAGCTCTTTCCCGTTTTTCACGCCTTTATTTTGGATCATGTAGTTTTCATGTTCAGCTGGCAAAGCATCACACACCTGATTTGTCACACACCAAAATAACGTGCAGACACAGTGTTCTGTGACAAAACGTAGAGATGAATCATTTGGTTTTTATATGAACTGGGTTTTAGACAGAAGGCTTTTTGTTGTTGTTTTCCTCATTCATAGAGGGAAACTTGCATAGAGGATATGCAGCTAAATGTTACTACTGATAACAATAGTAAATTCACCAGAGACTTCAGAAAGAGTGAGTGGCTGTCAAGGTCTGTTTTTGTTTCCTATGC